AGCCGCCGCCACCACACACCTCACCTGCCAGCAGGTCCAGCCCCCACCTCCCCGGACCAGCCCATTGGAACGGGAGGGGGGAAGGGAACAACATCCGCGTGAGCCGCAGACTTTTCCCGCTCCCCGTACTGCGTTGGCGCGTCACGAGACGCTCAGAGCCGGGTCGCACGTCACGCAATCCTCCCCCGGCAGTTGGTCTCTCTCGGAGGCTCGCGTTAGTAACGGCGCAGCCAGCCCCGCCTCCACGCATGCGCAGTAAGTGACTGACTCTCCGACAGGGCGAAATGGCGGCGTCAGCTGGCGCGGCGTCGCGGGGGTTAGCGAAGCGGCTGTTCCGACCCCCGGCGGGAGCGGTGAGTGCGCCCCGCCTCGCGGGCAGCCAGCCCCTGCAGATGGGTGGGGTCTGGATTGGCGTCTCCCGGGGCGGGAGCTGGTCAGCCCGCGGGGGGGGGCCTCGCAGATGTGTGTAACCGGCTCGTCTAGTGCGCGCGCGGCGGTGGGGGGAGCCACGCGCTGCCCCGCTCTCCCTTATAGCCCCCCCTCCCCTGCGGGCAGGAGGCCGCCGGCTCGGCCCCTCCTCCGTCGTGGCTGTGCTGCTGGGGCGGGGGCTGCCGTGGGTGCCTCGTGCCTGAGCTAGCCTAGCCCGAAGAGCAGACCTGGGATGTTAAACCCCTTTTCTTCCTCCGGGTGCCCTTGCAGCGAGAGGGGCCGGCCCAGCACTCTCTGCTGACACTGGCATTAGCTGCCACCCATCCCGCCCCCAGTCTGAATAGACAGGAACAAGATGGACAAAGGCTGGGGGAGAACAGCGAGGCGCTGCGGGGTGAAGTGACTTGCCCAAGGTCATCCAGCTGGTGGGAGGCAGAGCCAGGCATAGAACCCAGCCCGCAGCGTGGTGTCCTGTCCACTGGCCTTCTGCCTCCCCAGTACCCCTTTTCCTCTGTTTGAGCAGGTTGACAATTGACACCTCTAAGGTTCTTAATTTCAAAGGCCTGTGTGCCTGTACACTCTGTTCCTGTGGTATCTCCTTGGGATTTGACCTCAGGTACCAGGGATTCAGTGGCAGAAGTTTAGTTCTTGAGCAGCAGTGTCTTTTAATAAGGCTGCTAAAAAAAAAAAAGAAAATGGATAGAGGAATACAGCAGTCGTGATGGTGTGTTAGTAGAAAGGCTTTCAAAGAAACTCCAGTATCCTGAAGCAGACCAACATGGCCTGGCTCTTTTAAATAGCCTGGTGTTTTATTAAACAAAAAAGCAATGTGTATGAGGTTTTATTGGAGTATAGAGTATCTCATCAGTTGCTTTAAATGAATTAATAGTATTTTTCTATGAACAAATAATTGAAAGTTACATACATTTAAAGTGTTTGGAGTGGGTTTATAATAACTGGTCTATGAGTAGATAAAGCGAGGCATTATATATGAAAACAGATAATGTGCATCCCAGCTCCCCTGAAACTACACTTGATGCTTCTCATTCCCCCCTCACTTTCTTTCCTCCACCTGCAGTGAGCTAGTTCTTGTCTTATTTTTACTCCATTGTCACACTGAAATTAACAAAGGCAGGGTAACTAGCCCTTTCATTAGTAGAAACTTCTGCGGTGAATGACTGCATTATTACTATTTATTACAGTAGTACCTAGAGGCTTTAAGTAGGATTGGGACCCCTTTATGTGCTAGGAACAGTAACTGACAAAATGAGATACAGTCCCTGCCAAGACAGATTAACAATCTAAATAAACAGGGCGGTGGGGATATTGAGGCACAGAGAAAAATGATTTGTGTAAGGTCTCCTAGCTCCCAGGCCTATGTCCTGACCAAGGACCCTGCTCCATCTCCACTAGCCAGATTGGGGGGTGGGTGGGTAGGAAAGGCTGTTGAGTGACAAATAGCTTCATCTAACTTAAATTGTTTTCTGCTCTGAAAGTTTCTAGATACTCTGGTTAACTGAAGATGTTTCAAAACATGTCATTCTGTGGTATCATAATATTTATTTCAGTGACAGTTGTGGTTCTTGGAATTTTGCATTCTGAACAAAAAGAACAAAGTACAGAGCTGATTTCCAAAGGGGAAAAACTGTACAGAGTACAGAGATGATTTCCAAAGGCTAAAACTTATTTCTGGACTTAGGTTCTGCCACAGCCTAAATAGTGGAGCCATTTTGCATAGGGATATGTGCTTAATTACAGTTACAGTTTTGCTTTGCAATTTTCCTATTGTAGCCAAAACTTTTATACTCACATATGTTTCCTGCCTGTTGCTGGAGGATGCTTTCCTAGTTATTGCTGAGGAGTTAGGCTGGTTAAGCAGAGTCCTTTCTCTCAGCTATATGGGGGCATTCTGTCTTTCAGCTTGTCCCCTTCCTTGTCTTGACAGCGTCTCAGTCCCTAGCTCAGAGTGCAAAGGACAAGCTGGGAGGAAAAAGTCTCCTGTATAGGAGCAGGGGCAGCCACTTCTACCATTGCGTGGAACAGGCAGTGAGGTAGACTGTCCTCACACCTGTTGGGAGAAGGAGGGAAAGGAGCTTGCTAGAAGAGGGGGAAAGATTGAGACAAACAGGAATAATAAAACATTTTGAAGCCTTGCCTACCTTTCTTTAGTTGTTGGAGCCCTGCTGTTTTGAATTTATATAATATCAAGGGAACCAAAAATAATAAAGAATGTTAGTACAGTAAACTGGATGCTTAGAGTGTGTTGTATAATGTTGTTATGTAAAAGGTTACTGTATGTCTTAAAATCACAATTGAGTAACTAAATGCTCTTGTTTTTACATATCTTTTCATTTTATTTGGTTATAAATGAAACTTTACATAGGTTAATTTTGAAAATGGCCAAAACAAAAAATTTGTGGGCCATTAAAGTATTAGGTGTGGTGAAAAATGCATATTGATAATACTTACCTACTTCAGAATTAGTATGCAAATGTAACTCATGGAACTGATTATCACTTTTCCTGAGTATTCCCCAGATATGTTTACACAGCAACTAGACACCTGCGGCTGGCATGAGCCAGTCGCAGGTTTTTCTTTGCTGTATAGTCATACCCCCCATTTCTAGTTGTATGTATGATACACAAAGGTTTCATAATTTGGACTGTCCACTAAGTCAGGATTTGTGCAGCCAGTGAATATGAAGTGAGATATTCTGATGAGATCTTCATCCTTGTTCTGAAGGCTTCTGTGCAGCATGTTTCTGAACAAAGACCCCAGAGAATGTACTGCAGAAATGTTCATACATACATTTTGCATTTTAAATAGGAGGAACACAACCACAGCTATAATTTGTATTCAGAAATCTGAGCTTCAGCAGTTCTGATGAACAGGAAAATGTTGAAAACAAACTTGCTAAACAGTTCATTTTGTTATCCCATTTCTAGAGCCTCCTAATTCAGGGGAAAATATTATGAATGTTTGCAAACTGTACAGATGGAAGGTCCCACAGTGGTTAGGATTGTATTGACCTGCAAATAGTTTGAAAATCTACCTACTTTTGGAAATGCAAACTAAAAGTTCCAAATACTACAGTGTGAGATAATTGGCGCATAATTGACTTAAAACCTAGGCCTGGTCTATACTACAAAATTAGGTAGATGTCAAGGCAGCTTACGTCGACCTAACTATATAAGCATCTACTACACTACGCAGCTTTTAATGACACAGATGTGCTACTACAGCCAAGCCGTGCCACTGAAAGGCACGCAGCATAGCTGCTGTTTGTCGGCAGGAGAGCGCTCCTGCTGACAAAGCACTGTTCACACCAGCACTTTTTGTCGGTAAAACTTTTGTTGTTCGGGGGGGGGGTTTAACACCCTGAACGACGAAAGATTTGCCAACAAGGTTCCCGTGTAAACAAAGCCTAAAATTTTGCTCCCACTGACATAAGTCACCTGCTACTCTGCCTTAATTCCACCTCCATGAGAGCCATAGACTCAATGTCAATGTAGTTAGGTCAACATAGTGTCAGTGTAAAGCAGGGGTCGGCAACCTTTCAGAAGTGGTGTGC